TGTTCAAGGCATCCCAGACTGCCCGTGACAGTCTCTAGCATGTGGACACACAGCATCCTTCTCTCCCCACCACCTCTTTCCCATTGTATTTTGTGCCCACCAACCCCACTGTCCCATTGTGGCATTCCTGATCACTTCTCTCCCATCAGTTGATGCCCACTAAGCAGTTGGGTGATGCTATTCCCTACATGTAGTTCTGTGACCTAAGGAAGTAGGTGGAGGAAATCCCAGCCAGGTCCCACCAGCTCCTCCTCCATCATGTCTGTATGAGTTAGCTAGGGTTGCTGTAACAAAGTATCATACAGTGGGTGGCTTACACTGCAGAAATGCATTCCCTCACAGTTCTGGAGGCTAAACATTAAAGATCAAGGTGTCCGTGGGTTTACCTCCTTCTGGGAGCTATAAGGGAAGGGTGTATTAAAGGCCCCTCTCCTTTCCTGAAATATACATGACCATGTTCAAGTGGCCTTCTCTCTCTTATGTGTTTCTTTCAACTTCCCTTCCTTATAAAGACACCAGTGACAATATACTAGGACTCATTCTAATGATCTCATTTTAACTTAACCACCTATGCAAAGTCTCAATCTCCACATAAAGTCTCACTAATAGGGTTGGGACTCCTTTGGTGGGGGGAGGGGAGAAGCTAGAGCTCCAACATAGGAATAGAGGAGGGTGTGCCCAATTCATCCCCCAAGACCACTGATCCTTGGTATTCTTCAGTCTGCCTTGACTTGCAGCATCTATAACCTAACAACTATTCTTGAAACCAGCCCTGAGTTTTAGGCTGAGCAACAGCAACAGCCAGAGTTTTGGCCTTGAATTGTCATTTTAGTTCTCTAAGCTTTGGTTTCTGAATCCAAAAATGGAGGAAATAATTTCTGCCTTGCCTACTTCTCCAAGCTACTGTGAGCAGCTAATGAGCTAGTAAATATAACAGCATCGTGAAAAAATAAGTGTGCCACAAACGGGACACAGCATCACCATGTCATTATTATTAGTAGTGAGAATAAAGGAATCCGGAGGCTACAAAGAGCCCCATCCACAGCCTCCAAGATGATGAAACCCACTCCATTTATAAAGCCATCTTTTTTATTCCTCCCACGAGGAAACCCCACAGCATTCCCTGCTTGTGAAACAGTTCCCTGTTCAGATGAATTACAAGTTTCATTCACTCCACAAGCATCCCAACATAACCTAAATGCATTCTGCTACATCTAAGTTCATCTATCTTTCATTCTGACCTGAGCAAGGGAGAACTGATCACTGCACCCTCAACATTTTTGAGTTAGCCTTTCTTTAAATCAGCGATTCTTCCTCCACTCCCTAGCATTTTCCATATACCAGGCACTGAGCTTGGGACTAAGGGCTCAGAGCTGAAAAAGATATTCTGTGATCCTGCTATTGCTCACAGTCCAGAGCCCAAGAGTTCCCAGGGTGCCAAGTCCCCTTTCTCCCTGAGAAACATCCCTGCCCTGATACCTACTTCTGTACACACACCTAAGCCTGTGTCCTCCTCAGAGAGTACCCTTCATACCCCAGCTACTTTAATGACCTTAAACTTTGCTGTGAACTTTCTCTTTAAGCCAAGATTCCATTCACGCTAATCATTTTCCATAAAATGCCTTTGGGTATCTGGATGGTTCTGCTACTGATGAAACCAAAGACAATAGTCCTAATGTCTACTTGAAGAAGACCCCATCATCTTGTGACTCAAAATGGACATCCATGATCTGACTCTATTGTCCATCTCAGAGCTATGTGACAAGAAAGGGGATAGCTTGGTGACTGGCCTACCTCACAAAGAGAGGTTCCTGCTTTCTGTCATACTCCATCATTTATCACTAAGTAGACTTGTTCCTTTGACTTGTTGGATGTTTCCCCAAGCCAACATAATTACTTCCTGCATCCTTCTTGTTCTGTGTGTGGCAGTGTCTCAGACACTGCTCCACCTCCTCATCTGTGTCTCCAGATTCCCCTCCATCCCCAGCTGCTGTCCTTGCCGTGGGCTTCCACATGTGGATTCAGTGAGCTCTAATTTAGCTCCACACATTTCCAAAGAGCATCCCAAGTTTTTGCATATGGCAAGCTAGATAATTTTCACTTCACCAATCTTCTGGCTTACTCTCAAAAGGATCCCGGTGGCTTCTCACCACTTCTCAGCAAAGACACAGCCAGAGAACCCTCACTTAATAAATTTCTGCCGTGTGCTTATTAGCGCCTTGTAATGTAGCCGCCTAAATAATTAAGACTAACCCACACATGTCAAATTAAATGAGCCAAATACATTGAGAAATTACCTCATCCTCAATTTCTTTTATTAATCAGAGCTTTAAAAAAACTTCTTTCCTTGCTCATTTACAAAAATCAAATATAGCCCAGGAGACTCTTGCTTATAATAACTATGTATATGCATACCCTCTCCTCTGCCAGTCACCTGGGAGGCATCCTAGCACGTGACACATAAGATAAGTTGAGTGTTAGAGACAGCTTCTGTGAACAATTAGATATGGCAGGTCACTCAAATTCTAATCTTTAGAACCATTCTCCCTTCCATCCTCCTAAGGGTTTATTTAGATTGCTTCCTGGAACACAGTGGGAGCATTGGCCAAATCCATCTAGCGCCTTCCGCCTTCCTCCCTGCTCCCCCAGGCTCCATCGTAGGCTCATTCCAGGAACCCAGACACCCTTTGTCATTAAGAACTATGACTGATTTGCTTTAGATGGGCCTAAGTCAATAACAAATACAATAGGAACCATCAGCAACTGTATCATTAGATGAACAATGTGGCTGTCATTTAATAGGCAAGCTGACTCTGGGCTTTAGATGCAAGCTTTGGCAAGAAGCTATTGTTGGCTGGAGGTGGGAGCCTCCTCACAGCTCACACTTCTCCTGGCCCCCTCCAGGCACACTGCATTTCTGCCTCTTGGAGGTGACTGCTAGAAGGAAACCACAAATAAGTAAACATCAAAGGGGCTTTGATCCACGAAGCCCTCAGCAGAACAGGAGCCTCCAAGAAAGGGCCAAGGCCTTGGATGGGAGAACTTAACATCCATCAATTTGGGCGCCTGAGATGTGAGGCTGTTTGAAGTGAGGGCGGTTTGGCTGCACCTTCAGATGAGCAAGGAACAAGTGTGCAGGGGAAGAAATCCACAAATAAGTAAACATCAAAGGGGCTTTGATCCACGAAGCCCTCGGCAGAACAGGAGCCTCCAAGAAAGGGCCAAGGCCTTGGATGGGAGAACTTAACATCCATCAATTTGGGCGCCTGAGATGTGAGGCTGTTTGAAGTGAGGGCGGTTTGGCTGCACCTTCAGATGAGCAAGGAACAAGTGTGCAGGGGAAGGAAGGGAAGTGAGCGCCTTTGGAAACAGCACCCTCAGATCTGCCTCTCTGCTCTTCACTGATAGTCAATAAACCCCTTAAGGAGATCAAAGCGGCGACCTCCCTAGGCTGTAGTATCCTGCCTCTGTCTGCCACACTGTTTAGGGCATGAGCCCCTAAACTCGACTTATCTGTCTCTCCTGGACCCTATACTCCTTTTCATCCTGCTACCCTCAGAGGATGGAACTGAACAGCATCAGGTAGAGAAGGAGAGACAGGAGGAAGAATTAGCCCACTCTGTCTATTCCCTGATGGCTGAGACACCAGCAGGCAGAAGTCCAGGAACACATCCATGTCATGGACCAGTGCTGGGACACCATTCAGTAGGAGCCTCCTTCTCTGAGAACCAAAGGTGGAAGGAGTCAGGAGGCAGCAATCCTGGCAAGACCCAGGGGAGAGCTGCAGTCATGTGCCACCTTCTAGAACAATGCCACTTATCCACTTGCCTAGTTTAGGGCAGCTATCATTTGGGTTTTTTGTTTGTTTTATGTATATTTCTCATTGAATTTTTGTACATTTCATACAAAGCATCTCAATCATCTTTATCCCCCCTCCCCCATCACAGCCCTCCATAGCCCCCCAATACCAGGTTTCATGAATTCTGTGACTTCTGAGCAAACAGGTGAAGAAGGGGAGTCAAAAGTATCAGGAGCAATCAATCACCATTGTTGAGCTTCCATGGTCCCATCTGTGTCACATGACTAGCAGAGACCCATCTGCATACAACAGGGGATTGCTGAGGCAGTCAAAAACAAAAGTAGTGTGGAATTGTTTCTGAACCCATGGAGTACCCAAGACAAATCAGTACTAAAAGCTAAATACAAGAGTGGAAAACTTGCCTCCTAGTGAGGCAGATGTACTCCAGTCCAACACTCACACACAGTAGAGGCTGATTCATGAAATGCTGTACAAAATATAAACAGTGTCTGGCATTTGCTACTTGGAGTTGCTGTTTTGTCTTGCTATTCCAGTAAGGTCAAAGTGCTATGAGTTCTTGTGTCTCTCAGTGCTGCTGACCTCTGTGCTCTGAGTCATGTGCTGAATGAAGGTGTTGAGTGGTGCCTACACATAGGAATGTACAAAAATCCACAGAAATTTTCCTCTTCCAAAAGGATGACCAAGTCATTCTGCCTATTCCTCATCCCTGTGTCCTCTCCAAACTCACTACTCCATCCTGGGTCTGGCCACACCACACTATCCTACCATGGACACTACCAGAAAATCTTCTTTGGTTTATCTGGCCACAGTCCCTAGGTAACCTGAGCATGGTCCCCAAGCTTAGGGGACCCTAAGCACATAGTAATGGTCATGAGGATAGATGCTGGAGCCTAGCTTTGGAACCCTGACTCCACCACCTGCTAGCTTGTTCATCTAAGGCTCTTTACTTAATGCACCTGTTAATGAAGCTGGTAAAACTGGAGAGAACAATACCATACAGCTTCCATGATGTGAGAATCTAGCAAGAATCATTGACTTTATGCCTGGAATACAGTGCTATAGAAATGTTTGTTAAACAAGTAGCCCTGTTTATCAGAGCATCAAGCTCCACAGCTCCCTGAGAGGACTGTCCCTTCACACCTGCTCGTTCTCAACTCACCTGCCTATGTTTTCCTTCCAGAACTGGGCCTCCAGAAGAGAGGATGCTGTCTGGTGCTGGGCTACATGGCCAAGGACAAGTTTCGGAGAATGAATGAAGGTCAGTGAGACCCTCCACACCTCTCAGGGGTAATGCAGTGGCAGGAAGGTATGCCCACACCTGTGGTATGGAGGAATATGAACAAGGAAACTGGGGCAGCTCAGGAAGGAGAATGGGAGGCTTGGCTTAATGTCATGGTGATTCACATGGGGAAGAGCAGTTGATGCCAGAAGCATGGGATGCTGACTTGGCCTCTTCCATTCACTGTCTTCCCTTTTCCTTTCGTGTCCCTGACTTCTCTTCCTCTCTTCCCTACCTTTGAACAACTTACAAGGCACTCAGGAGAATCCTAAAGAAGGAGGCAGTATTGTGTTTTCTAAGAACTTGCATTCAGAGATCTGCCTATTTTTCCAATTTCTCCCACTGAACACTCTCTCCCATCCAAGGGTAGCTCTCCCTTCCTCTTGCACTGGGTTTTCCTTGAGGCTCACCTGGGTCACAGAGGACTTGGGGAAGGTATTGACTTTGACATGGAGGCTTGAATGTGAGGCACATGCTGTCACTTATGGGTCTGCTGTAATAAAGAACCAATCCTCTCCATCCCCAGCCATCTGTCTCCATGCAGCTAATAACACTCTTCATCAGCTGCCACAGACTGTTCATCAGGATTCAAAAGTAGATAAACAATGACTTGGGGTGCCATTTATTCATTAAAATCAGATGAATGAAGTGTTGGCTCCCCACCAGCCCACCCTGCCATGAGGTGGGCACCTCCCTCCCAAGGCTCAACTCCCAAGGCTCAAAGCCCCCAGAGCCTCTTTCCTACTATAGGAAAGGAGAAATCAGTGCACCTCCATTGTCTGCCCATGATTTATATCATACATAGTCCAGTGTCCTCTTCATATATTCCATAACTGCTTCTCCTTCCAACCCACCATCCATGACCTCCACAACCCTATGTGTAGCCCAGACCAGAGTCTTTGCTATATGTGGGTTTGTCGCCAGTAACCATCATAGTGACAGTCTGTTAAGAAAAGTAAATGCTCATCTCCTCCACTTGCCGTATTCAAGAAAGCAGCAGCTTCCATAAGCCACTTATCATTTGTAGGAACCCTATGGCTGAGCACAGTCAGGAATGGGAGCTGCATATTCTGTGGCATGCCCATCAGTCTCTTTCATTGACTTTTTCTTTCTTTGTCTCTCAGTCACCCCCTCCTTTCCCAGCACTGCAACCTGAAAGAGAGTGGTAGGCAGTTACTTCTAATTTGTGGGAACTGACAGCATGACTCTGTCCGTGGTGCTGAATAGACATGTTCTGTCGCTGGAAATGCTCATTACAGAAGCTGAATCAAGACTCATAGGGATTTGGAGGAGCCAAAAAGTTGAGAGCTGGGCTGCATTTGAATCTTGAAACTCCAGGTGTCTGACCTCAGCATCAAGATAACCAAGAAAATTAAGGCAGGGGTGGTGAGCAAGCTAAACCAAGAAGTCTGTGAATTACAAGTCCCTAGCAAAACGGACAGGCTAGAAGAAGGTGCTAGAGTGGGACAAAAGGAGACACGTACAGTGGGGTGGTTCTGGCTTTGGAGGGTCTAAGCCACAAGGGGAGGAGGAGGGAAGCACCTGCCTCCATGCCAGACAGCCTTGCTACCCCCAAGTGCCACAGAGGACATTTTCTTCCTTGTTTCTAAAGCTTGTGTGCCATTCAAGGAAGCACATGAAAGCCCATGAGAGTCACATTCTATTTGGGAGTGCTTAAACCCCAACCCATCTGCAGATAAGAAAAGGCATCCACAAGCACAGAGACTGTTTTATGGTTTATAATTATCTCATAGCAATACTCAAAATAATTATAATTCCTACATATTAGTAATTGAATGGGAGTAGAAGCCATGACATTGATCAAGCAACAGAAATCTCTATCCATGCCAGACAGAACACCTTGGTATGAATTGAACAACTGGTAAAATAATAAAATAATAGCAATTATTTTTTCTCCCAGTTGCTGGAATAAGTGAGCTATTGGAAAAATTAGCTGCTTCTTCCATTAGAGATAAGGTGGTGATCATTTTATTTTCATTTCAGAATAAACATAAAAGACCTACTTGTGCTGTATTAAAGCATATTTGTTTTGTTTAACAGTATCTAATAGAGTGTCTGTCACCCAGGGAGAAATGATCCCTTATTTCATTTGTTTCCCTGCTAATTTGGTATCTTCTTTTATTTTATTTTCTCTCCACTACCCCCCTCCTCACTACATTCCAAAAAATAACAGCTTGAGAAGAAGCAAGGGGAAAGTAATGAATGAACAAGAGCTTTATAGATCTGGGGTTTATCATAAGTTAGAGTAATCTCAATTGGTGCTGTTAAGCTACACAAAGCAATAAAAAGAAAACGCTATTCAAAGATCATTTAAGGAAGCATGTGATAGTCAGTGAGAGGCTTGCTCTATTTGAGAGCGTTTAATCGCTTCATGGAGAGAATCTGCAGCATTTGCAGGAATGGAGGGTGGCTGGTAATCTGGAAAGTGTGTGTGTGCGTGTGTGTGTGTGTGTGTGTGTGTGTGTGTGTGTAAGTAACAATCTGGGGCATCCAATGGAGACCTGAGCAAAAATCAGCAAAGGGCAGACAAGAATAGAGAAAGTAAAGACAGGCTAGGCGCAGAATGTCAGATTTGTCTACTATCATTGTCTTCATGTGATTAAGAACTCCATACTTTAAAGGAACAGCTGGAAGGAGATCGTTTATTTATTCATCAAGCATTCACTGGATACCATAAAAATGATACCAATTTTTCATAATAAGTGTCGGGCTCTATTATAAGCACTAGAACTGTAAAAGTGAATAAGACATAGTCTCTGCCCACAAGGAGCTCACAATAAAACCACTAGACTTGTCTCAGTAAAAATATTATTTCCACAAAGAGATCCTACTCACACCTCACTTAAGTGAGAGCCCCTCTCCCCTACCACATGCTCCACCTGGCCAGCCAGTCTGTTTTCTTTGCAGCATGTGTCACTACTTGTGATGATGTAGCAACTTCTTACATGTGTACTGTTGGCCCTACCTAGGGAGCTAGCTGTGGGAGGCTAAGAGCTCCCTTCCTTCTTCTTGCCCCATCCCTGGTCCTCAGCCCAGTATCTCATACATAAGGGGAGTCACTCACTGTTTACTTGAGTAAGTGTTAAATAGAGGCTGAGTGACAATAGAGTGACAATGTAAAAAGTCACCCACAGGTGTCAGGTGGGTCTTGAGAAAGAGTTCAAGTGGCAGGACCTTTTTAAAAAATGGGTCTACAGGCAGATAGATGTAGTGGTACATGCACTCCAGACACAGAGGCAGGTGGAGCTCTATGAGTTTGAGCTCAACCTGGTCTACCTAGAGAGTTCCAGGTCATCCAAGGATACATAGGGAGACCCTGACAAACAGTATCTCCACAACTTCAGGAATTCCCCTACCCCAAATCTTAGGCTTTCCTTCTGTTCCAGAATTAGAGCCCATCCTGGGAGGTCAGAACTGAGGCGGAATAAAAGGTCAGAGAGTCAGTCCTTGCCCATAGACAGACAAAGGCAGAACATGGTAGAGACCCGGGGTGAGGGACACAGGTCCCTAAGGAACCAGAAAGTTCTGTAAGTCTCATCTTGAGAAGGGAAAACAAGGAAGAGCAAGCTTAAAGGAAAGAGGAGGCAGTAAATCTTGGTTTCCCTTCCTCCCGCCCCAGGCACCAAGGTAGGCCTGCACAGGTGGGATTTTCACTACACAAAGTTCCCTCTTGGGACAGGGCAGGGAAGACAGTAAATTTCCAGGACATTTAGAATCGCAATGACCAACTGCTTCTCTCAGTTCAGTGAAGGGAAAAAGTCAAAATGCCTCCCAGCACTGTCCCTTTCATCTTCTCAGAAAGACTACTCACAAGTGATTAGCAAAGGCAGCTTATGCTGACTGAAGATGCCAGTCCTCTGGGGAGGAGCTGGAGCACCCAGAAAAGATGAAGCCAGATGCCTGGCCCCCCAGTACACCCATAGCTCTTGGGGGTACCATCATGTTACCTCTAGCTCTGTAGACAAGTATATCCTCACCACAGCTTCCACCCTCATCTCTCAGCCCTATGCTGGAGACAGAGTCCTGAAGGACAGGAACTCCCAGTCCTCAACAGCCCTAAAGTTCTCTGGGATGGTACGGTAGCTTATTCTTTCTTCCTGTAATGAATCTAAATCTGCCATGGCCTCCTGTCTCCTAATAGAGACGGTAAAAAACAGAGTTGACCCCAGAGTTTTCCTAGCTGGAATTCAACCATCTCAAACACGAAATTGAACCATTTGTAAGGCTCTAATATGCAAAGATACAAAACTCTGGCCTGGTTCTCAATCTGCTACCCCCAACACTGCTCTCACCACCCGTCCTATAATGTTTCATGTGCTAGTCACCAAAGGACCCCGTATAAAGAAGTTGACTAGTTGGGCTGGAGAGATGGCTCAGCAGTTAAGAGTACTGGATGCTCTTGCAGAGGACCTGGGTTCAGTTCTCAGAACCCATATAGTGATTAACAACCATCCTCCATAACTCCAGTTCAAGAAGATCCAACACCCTCTTCCGACCTCAGCAAGCATTGCACAACATGGGTGCACTTACATACATGCAGGCAATACACTCATACACATGAGGTAAAAATAATAAATAATAATAAAAATTTAAGCTGATGACTTTACCAACAGCCTTAAAAGGCACTTTGGGGTTTCTTTCTCCTGTCTCTCCTTAAACAACCAATGAAGGTCCTGGTCTGCTGCAGGTTACATGACAGCAAGGCAGTCCAGCAGGCCTTCAAAGGAGCTATACTTCTATCAGAGGTGAGGAGAAGCAGGAGTAGGTGGCCTAGGACCTCTGCTCAGAGCCCTGACTCTAGAAGGATTAAACCTCACTGGTACAGGCAGCTCTGTCCCTTGGCTGGCTGAGGCCAGTCTGTCTCATGCTGAGGGTGCACAATCATTTTCCTGAGACTGTGCCTCTGGTGCCTGCCACAGCCCCCGGAATGTTGGCTAATATTGTCATTTTGTTAGTTG